CATGCACACGTAGAGGCTATCACATGCACACGTAGAGGCTATCACATGCACACGTTGTAGCTGTCATGTGCGCACATGATAGATAAAAAATTTCTGATAGCCCCTATATGGCACCGTACAGGAATTAACATAATTTTTTATATTTACTGATTTTGCGATGGTTACTTTGAGATATACATGTATCTTACAAGAACATTTCATACAATCACTGTTAAGACCCTAAAAGTCTAAAATATTACAGTTACATAATTATAGTTATAGAAGAATTTTGAGAATAAAACGTTTTCAAATGTGCAGACAAATATTGGAAGTTTTAATGTGAGGTTAGGTATGTAACTTTACAGTATTCTTCAATAATTATTTTATAGCTCTTGCATCCTAAAGTAACAAAAGGTTATCATTGAACAATACATCTGTAGTTTATACAACACATGTCATTTAACTGTCCCTATAATGCCCTCATCAAAATACATATATGACACTTTTGTTAATTAATATCAAAGCAGTTCAATAACTAATTTTGAAAAATAAATGGTCATATAAATAAGTAAAAAAATCTGTGTGAATAACCAGAGTGTATTGAGATCGTTTCTATTAGAAATATATAAGAGGTGTTGAAAACAAGAGCACTGCATACTGGCGGGCAATATACGCCCGAATGCAAATTTGTTTTAAGAAAATAAGATTTAAAGTAGTCAAAAATAATTTTTAAACAGAGAGGATACCCATTTATAACATTTGTCTGCAACATGTTTTAAAAATATTTCATTTATCAGTATATAGATCTATATTGATAGAGCGTAGGACAAAAGCCCCCCATTTAAAAATGACAAGGTGGACAAAAGCCCCCCCCCCCCCCAAAAAAAATTTAAACTTAGGACAAAAGCCCCCCCCCATCAAAAATACAGGGGCTTTTGTCCTATGTGTAAATTTCATGGGGGGCTTTTGTCCATCTTGTCATTTTTAGATGGGGGGGGCTTCTGTCCGGGGAGAGGGGGGGGGCTTTTGTCGTACTTTCGCTGTTGAGTAGCCCTTAAAGGGCTAATTTCCTAGCACAGAGTGGTGACGGATTTTAATATTATAAACTGACTGAAAACATCAATATTTTTTTAAATGATAAAAATTAAAAAAAAAACATGTACAAAAATTTTAAAAGCACATAATATAAGCCTTAAGAATAATCAAAATGCTATGCTTACAAATAATATTCTTTTTTATTACCTCCCTTTACATTTTTAATATCAATACTCACACAAATATCCATCTTATGTAAAATAATAATTCTACTTTTACAAAGTGATGATACATGCTAAAAAACTATGTTGAGCATGTTGTAGGAATAGACTTTAAAACATGTATGCTGTATAAATCTATATACATGTAAACTGTGTGAAACCTACCCACCCCCCACCCACTGGGCACAGCCATTTTTTAATATCAGTTACATGATTTTGGAACAAATGCCGGGGTTCTTCTATGTAATGATCCATGCCAAATAACTATGATCTGGGATTTGTAACTTTACAAAAGAATACATACAAGAAAATAAAAGTTATATAAAATATATCAATTTTGTATATGTCAACAAGGCATGCTTCATGCAAAATATCTAAGCTTTAACTGTTAACATAAATATAATATTTTTGGGCATATGAAAAGGTATACTCTTATCACCTCCCTTTGAACATATATTTTGTTTTAATGTATTATAAAACAGGTACTTCAGCCCTTCAACCCATATCAGTCTTTCAATAAGAGAAAGGCTGACCAATAAATGGCGAAACAGAGGTAGCATGGTAAATTAACAACTGTGGGTAAAGTACTTCAGACATCATTCATGTCCAACATTTAATAATCTCCCTTTGTAATATATATATTTAAATAAGGATTTTGAATGAGTCAGTGTGACCTTGAACTTAACCCAAGGTAGTCCAAAACTGCCCGCTGCACATCATCTCAGAAATATAAATATTTCTACCAAATAGACTTAATTCCCTACTATCCGTTTAAAAGAAACAATAGCAGACACAAAATTTTGATAGCAATACAAAATAACTAAGCATGAACTTGACTTGAGGAAGGTCAAACCTCTATTAGTTTCAAAAATATTCCAATGTCAAAAGTATAAATCAAATTAATGAATAAATAAAAAAATGTTGTGACAAAAAAAATCAAAATTTAATAATTTGACCTTGATGGTCAAGGTCATATTTGAATCATCCAATATGTTGGTTGGGTCAAAAGAGACTTTTTGATAAAGAATGAATGGGATTGATACCTAATAACAAAGATATGACAATTCAAGTTCAATAATTTGATCATGCCAGATAAAGTGTCTTAAATCTCAAGGTCAGTTAAATTTTCTGCAAAATTTTAAGTGAAAGGTATTTAAGTCCAGATATGAAAACTATCATTTCAAATGCCAATAACATGACCCATATTCGAAATTATCTAAACAATTACCTAGGCAACCATCCTGACAAAGTTTGATGATGATTGAGGCAAAACTCACAGTGACCACTAGAGTGTTAACAAGGTTTTCCATATTTGGGCAGTGTGACCTAGTTTTTCACCAAAGATGACCCATATTCGAGTTTGACCTAGAAATCATCAAAAGAAACTTTCAGACCAATTTCCAGGATACATGTATTTGGATCAATACAGTAGCCACTATAGAGTGTTAACAAGATTTTTCTATTTTTAGCTCCTGTCCTGTCCCATGTTCGAACTCATCTGAGCAATGACCTAGACAAGCATCCTGACAAAGTTTGATAATGATTGGGGAAAAAATGTGACCACTAGAGTGTTAATGAACAAATATGGACAGACGATGGACAACCCTACAAGCTGACCCTGAGCTAACTCAGGTGAGCTAAACATAAACAAATTTAATAATTTGACCATGAAGGTCAAGTTCATTTATGACTTATAATCAAAGTCAATGTAGTCAACTTGAAGGAACATTCCAGATGATTGATGTGTCCAGGTATAAAGACAATTCATTCATAAATAATTAAGTTAGGGCCACTTTGGTATATTTTTGGGATATTTCTAAAGTTATAAAGAGTGCATAATTATGGTAAACTAAACTATCTAAGTTATGTAACTTGGAACACACACATTAGTTTTGTAATTTTGCATTTTTATTTCATGTTTGTACAAGTATGAATAATTTCCATACACTAATAGCAAAGTTACAGCCAAGTTTAGCAAAAGATTCCTATATAGCCCCCTAAAACTATGTTTTGTGGTGGTATAATGATATCATTATGTTATGTTGTTTCAGTGGTTTCTAAGAAATGGCCACGTATTAAACACTGGTAAACATTTTTAAAAGCATGATTAGTAATTTGTATTAAAGTCCATGACTTATTGTGACAGTACTCGTAAATGAGGTCACATTGGAGTTGAGGTTTGTCATTTTTATTACACAAGTTGCATAAATTTTATAATATTTGTAGATGTTTTCTATGAAATGTGTCATGACAAATATCCTAGAGAATTCTAGGCATTGTAGTTTCAGAGAACAAATAAGTCTCTGAAGATATTTTTACAAGTGTACATAAATTGAGTAACCTCAGGGGCATGGCCAACTTTGACACCAGGGTTATGTTTTATCAATGTCAACTTGACAATGATACATGCAAAATATCTAAGTTTCATAAAAGAAAGCTTAAATGTTGTTTCCTTCCTAAACTTAGTGATTACTTGGTGGGGCCATTTTGAAACTTAGTGATCACTTGGTGGGGCCATTTTGACCTCATGGTAATCAGTAAATTGCACATAATTTTGTTGACAACCAAAGAGTATTGTAATTCTTCAGAAGATTCTCAAAAATTCATTTTGAAAGTCTCTTCATTTTGAAAGTCTCATTTTATACACCCAAAAAATTTTCAGCATATATTGTTATGCACCTCAGGTCATCTGTAAGTTTTCGTATCCGGCCTGTATCTTTTGAACTGGAACTACTAGGCAGAAATGTTAACCATAATGAGACGATGTGCAGAGCGCGGGTTTGACCTTTCTTAGGTCATGGCCAATGTCACACTTAGTCATTTTGTATCCATTTCAAAATTTTGTGTCCCACAGCTCTGTACACAGGCGCTAGTCACATAATCAAATATTTTACATAATCGGTCTATATATGTATATAAAGATATAAGGCCCCCAACGAAACAAAAACATCATGCAGAACAAACAAGAACACTGCTGCAATAAACGACCAGATCACGGTTATCTCTTTCTGGTCGCCATCTGAAAGGATCAATCCAAGTGTCAACGCTTTTTATATCTTTATATACATATATAGACCGATTATGTAAAATATTTGATTATGTGACTAGCGCCTGTGGCTCTGTATCTTTTGAACTGATAGAAAGAAATTAAAACTCTTTGGTAGAAATATTATATATAAAGTATCGGTGTGCAGAACAGAGGTTGGGGCTTCCTGAGATAAAAATTGGACATGACCCGGGGATTACTTCATTTATATATTTGTATAGGAGTTTGTGTATCCCCTCTGTATCTGAACAGGTAGACGGAAATTAAAACTACTTGGCAGACTGTAATGAGATGATGTGCAGAGCGCAAGTTTGCTCTTTCTTAGGTAAAGGTCACCCTAAGTCATTTTGTACCAATTTCAAAATTTAATTTCGCTCTGTTCGATCTTTTGAACTGAGAGAAAAAAATAAACATTTTTGGCAGAAATATTACTTATAATGAAAATGGTCTTTGTGCAGAACACAGGTTCATGCTTCCTGAAATAAAATTGGCCCCACCCCAGGGATTATTTAATTTATATAGACTGATATAGGAAAACACATTAAAGTTTGTGAAACTACAATGTCCAGAGCTTATATATTTAAGCATGTAGCATTGCCTTATTGACCTTTATAAAACTCATGAATCATGCCCCTTGGGTATTAATCATGATTTATTTTTCAACCAAGGTAAATTCAAAATAACAAGTAATACACAAGTAATACAAGTCAACACCAGGGCAAGTTTACAATATTTTATTTGAGTCTACTTAAGTTACAGTCAATTATATGACCTTCATCAGGACAATTTCAATCAAAATTTTGTCTATTAAAGTGCTAAAAAAACAGCTACGCTTTATGATGTTGTTACTAATTATAAGAATCTTGTTACTAAAAATAGAATTAAATTGGCAACATGCCAAGAGTTATTTAAATAGTGGTCTGTTGTAAAGTTCTTAATTGTTAATGAAAAGTCCCTATATCCTGTTGTCTGTTTTGACAAGATTATTCTTAATATTTCTAGTTTTCCGGTGAACAGCAATTATTTTGGAATTATTTTTAAAACGCGTAGATATGTTTTTTGTTAATATTCTTAAACAATTGCTGAGAATCTGTTGTATATCTGGAACATAGGGGTTATATGTTGTTTTGAAAGGGATAACATTTTTTTATTCCGTGTACTTTTGTTGTTTAGAAAGAAATTCAAGTCTGTTGTGTTTTTTTTGGCCTTATTTATTGCATGACGTATGAGACTGGAAGGGTAGCCTCTAGATCTTAGGTTCTCATAAAGACAATTAGTGCATTCATCATAAGATAGGTCATTGCTACATATACCGCATATTCTGTACGGAATACTTCTCTTTTGGTGTTCAGGATGGAAGGAAGTGTAATGTAAGTACATGTGTGCATCGGTAGGTTTTGTATACAAACTAGCATGTAGTTTCCCTACATCATCTTTTGTTATGTGTATATCTAGAAAATGTGCTGACCTGAGGTCTTCATCATGTGTAAATTTGATTGCCGGGCAGAAACTGTTTAAAGTGGCCATGAAGGAATACAATTCCTGTCTGCTGTGTGGCCAAATCATAAAAATATTGTCAATATACCTCCACCATATCAAAGGTTTGTTTTATTTTGATTTATGTTTGTATCAGAAAAACATTTCAGTCTTATTTTGTGAAACTACAATGACAAGAGCCAAGATATTTAGCATGTAGCATTACCTTGTGAATGTCTGCAAATTTGGTCTTCCCTGGGGTCAATGATTATAGGAAAACACTTTTAAGTCTTACTGTGTGAAATTATAAAGCTTACAGCTTTGATATTTGGCATGTAGCATCAAACTGTAGATTTCTACAAAAGATTTATTAATCATTATCCTCAGGGAGTCAGTTGCTTTAAGTAGACCAAGGTCTACAAGATAACAACACATCTTATCTTTTTGTGGATAATACTATGCCTCTATATTTGGCATTGCCTTATACTTATATACTATAAAAGTTATATGAATTATGCACTTAAGATAAAAAATTTCTACACCTTGGAGGTCATTATAGCATCATAAGGATAATTAAGATAAAACAATTTTCAGACAACTTTCTTGAATGGTTCTCTGCCCTAATTGAAAAATTATTTTTGATTTCTCAAACAAATTTACATTCAGTCATACATTGCCCCGCAGTGCTCTTGTTTCTTCCTGTCACCAAACTATACATAGGTTAAGTTCAAATATGGGTCATCTTGGGTCAAAAACTAGGTCACAAAGACCAAATATGGATACATCTTGTTTACATTTGCACTATTTTATGTGCAGATATAAACTTTATAATATCAGTTTAATATCTGCTTAATATCTGCTTTTCATTCATTGTTTACAATATTAAGAGCCTAAATCAGGTAAGCAATTTAAGGGTCATCATCGCCCTCTTGTTTCACCTTGTGCTCAGTTGAGCTTAAAGTTTAACTTTTCCAAAAAGACGGGTCAATCTATTATTTTAAAATGTCTATCACCATTCATCATATTACAATGACAAGAGGGCCATGATGGACCTGAAATCGCTCACCTTTATATAGGTCCCCAGGGCAGGACCAATTTTAACCAAAGGGCTTTTATTTGAATAAACTTGGTAGACACCCATTAGAAGATCTTTCATGATAAATATCTAAGCTCTAGCTCTTTGGGATTTTTAAAAGAAGATTTTTTAAGTTTTTACTATACACATATAAGGAAAATCAATGACCCCCGTGGCGGGGCCAATTTCAACCCCAGTGCCCTTATTTGAACACAGTTTTGAGAAACCAATAAGAAGATGTTTCATGCTAAATATCTTGGCTCTAGCTCTTTGGGTTTTTTAAAAGAAGATTTTTTAAGTTTTTACTTTATACATAAAGGGAAAAAAATGACCCCCTGGGGCAGGGCCAATTTTGACCCCTGGGCTTTTATTGAACAAAGTTGGTAGACACTGACTAGACAATGTTTCATGCCAAATATTTACGGTCTAGCTCTTTCTGTTTTTTAAAAGAAGATTTTTTAAGTTTTTTCTTTCAGTTCTGCATGGAATTAAATTCTTTGAACAATTTTTAAAGTTGACTGCCAAAGGAACATTCGTTTAAAGTTTGGATTAAATTGGCTTAGCGGTTTCTGAGGAGATGTCGTTTAAAGTAAAAGTTTATGGACGGACGATGGCTGGACAAAAAGCGATCACAAAAGCTCACCATGTCACTTTGTGACAGGTGAGCTAAAAATTAGAGCATTGTTGGCCAAAATATAGTCTTGTCAGCGATGTGCATGCTGGTTTTGCTTTATACTAGTAACAAAGGCATTGCAATTATGTTTTCAGTAACAAAGGCATTGCAATTATGTTTTCAGTTTTACCATTGCAAAAGGTTAAGTTCCTTGACAACTCTGCACATTGTCTAAAGATTCTTCCTCATCATCTCCATCATTATCATCACCCTTATCAATTTGTATTTCTTCATCACATTTCTCGTCACTTTGGTCAACACTTTCTTTATCACATACATTTTCCTTGAAAACCTTTGATTCTGATACGCCGTTTTGGAACTTAAACATGGAAACCCCACCAAACATAGACAGATAATCATCTATCTCGATTTGGTCATTTTCCTTTATCCATTGATGATTTATTACTGTTGAACATTTTTCATTAACAGTCTCCTCTCTTTGTGGCACAATTTCGAGACAGCTACTATTCCTTGTGAGCAGTCTTTCAAGGGTTTTTACCCTTTTATGGTCTTTTAAATTATCTACTAAATTCTGAACAGGACTTTTTCTGCTGCTCGAATCTATACATTTTAAGTCAACACACCCCTTGCTGTCAACACAACCCTTTCTGTATTTGGATAGTCTCTGAAAAAAAACAAAAAAAACCCATAAAAATAACAACAAAAAATAAAATATTTTAAGTATCAAAGTTTACTTTTTCACAATATATTATATAGTTGTTGTTGGAAATCAGCAATTAGGCTTAATGGATTAGCCATTTCATGTTGTAATTGTCATTTTTGAAGTAATGTGAAAGTACAGAGATTCTTCATTCCACCCCTGAACTTGTTCTTTTGTGTGCATTATGTACTGGTTCATGTAATTTCAGTTGAAGTATCAAGCTCCAATGATCAAGATTATCCATTTAAAGAGCATATTTGAAGACATTAGAAAGATAATTCCTGTGTTAAAACTAAAGACAAATATTGTTGTAGTTAAGAAATGAATAAATATTCACAATCTAGATGAAACTAATTAGAGAAGCATGGTATTAATGGTATACCCTTCCAGTTCTCTGTGGTTTGATACCAAGGTACTGTTTACAAATACAGGCACAGTTCCCCAAAATATGATGGCCTTGACTGCTCTACTGAGGTATAAAGGCTCAAAATAAATAGAGGCTTAAAATAACAGAGGACAGATGCTATTGATAACTGTGGATGAAAGGCAGGCAATATGTCAAAGTCTATGTAAACTGATATGAAAGTTCAAATCTGGAACTGTGCATGTAGAAGAAATTTCATACATGTAAGTCTAACCACATAAAGTAGGTCGCTGGGTCAAAATATTGGTCAAAGTTCAATTCTGCACCTGAAACTGTGCATACAGTCAAAATTTCATAGCTTTACCTCTGTAAACAAAAAGTAGATCACTGGGTCAAAATCAAAGTCAACGAAAATAAGACCATGCTTGTTGAACACAAATGCCCCCTATTCAGATTCTTGTCGGAAACAATTTTTCAAAATATGTTTACCCATTCACACAGTTATGGACAGAAAATTGCCAAGAAATTGTAAAGGCAGTTATATAACTAGACAGTCCTGGCGTTTTGTAATTGTGAACAAGAACGTGTTTGTTAAACACAAATGCCCCCCGCTCATATTCTTGTCACTAACGATATTTAAAAAAAAAATTAACCATTCACTCAGTTAAGGACGGAAAAAAGTAATGAAAAATGTGTTGTCACGCCACGGATGCCCCCGCATGCAGACAAAATTTCAGATGTTATAATATTAAGTTCAAAATTTGTTTGCATGTTTTGTGATGTCTGCCTTGTTGCATTTTAGTTGACAGTAGGTATTTTCTCACACACCCCCTTCTCCAATTTTTTTATCGCTCCCCCCCTTTTTTTTTCACCCTTATAGGGGGCTGCGTCCTGGGAATGTCGCCTTCCCTTGTTGATCTTTATTCTTGTTTTTTTTTAGATACTGATCACCCCTGTAAAATTTGGTTGAAGTAGTTTGACCTGTGAAGGGCGGACGAGCTTAATGCAGACGGACGGCTGGACAGACAGACGGATGGCGCAGGCAAAAACAATATGTTTCCCAAAAATTTTGGGATACATAATGATAACTTCTAGAAAAAAAATCTTAGTTCAATGGGGATGTAATTCTGGAAATAGTCAAGCTAGAGTATTGAAGGTTCTCACACATGATTTAAGTGATAATAATGAACATATACTTGAAGTTTCAACATTTTTTTCATGAAAATTCTAAGTTCTGATAATATAGGTGCTAGAATTATGAACCTTGTCAAGATACATTAAGAAATAAATAAGTTATACAAATAAAAGAATATGTTTTCGTTCAAAGGGGGGGGGGTAAATCTTATATTTTTGGTGGAGTTATGAACCTTTTATTTCCATACTGCAAGCTATCCATATTTCAAGTTACATAAAAAATTTTTAGGTACTTTTTGAGTCAAATGAATCTTGCTTGATTTTTGCTATGATTGGCTATAACATTAACCCTGAAGGTCATATTTTAAGTCTGTTCGTTGCCATAAGTAACCAAATTTTTCAATATAGGAAAAACAAGAGCACCGCTAGGCGGAGCATTATATGCCCAAAAATGTTTCTTTATTTTTTTTAGTAAGGATGAAGCATTTGTAAGATATTACATAAATTAAATAAGGTATTACCTCCTTCAAATAGCAATCCTCCTATAAAGTTTAAATATTGTGGGCCAAATGGAACTTAAGTTATGCTCTGGAAACTGTTTTCAGTTTTGAGGTAAAAGCCACCTTGAACTTTGACCTTGTGACCCCAAAATCAATAGGGTTGTTCTACCCAATATGGACAATCATCCTATGAAGTTTGAACACTATGGGCCAAATAGAAATTAAGTTATGTTCTGGAAACTGTTTTTAGTTTTAAAGTTATAGTGACCTTGACCTTTGACCTTGTGACCCCAAAATCATTAGGGGTCTTCTACCCAATATGGACAATCATCCTATGAAGTTTGAATATTGTGGGCCAAATAGACCTTAAGTTATGCTCCGGAAACTGTTTTCAGTTTTAAAGTAATAATGACCTTGACTTTGACCTTGTGATCCCAAAATCAACAGGGGTCTTCTACCCAATATGGACAATCATCACATGAAGTTTGAACACTGTGGGCCAAACGGAACTTAAGTTATGCTCCGGAAACTGTTTTCAATTTTAAGGTGATAGTGACCTTGACCTTTGACCTTGTGACCCCAAAATCAATAGGGGTCTTCTACCCAATATGGACAATCATTCTATGAAGTTTGAATCTTGTGGGCCAAATGGAACTTAAGTTATGCTCCGGAAACCAAATTGCTAACAGACGGATTTTGCGTTATGTGGACAGATGGACTGATGAACGGACATTCTTACCGGAGCTACATTATGGGGTTTTCTTTTGTTATTTCTTTTGTTCTTTTTAACCCCACAATGCAGAAAATAACCCCACAAGAGAAACGAAATGAATGACATCAAAGACATCTATTGTTATGAGAACAATAGACCAAACCCCATAATGTAGCTCTGGTTTGTACGGACGGACCGACAAACGGACATAGGTTAAACCTGAAGTCCCCTCCGGTTAAACTGGTAGGGGACTTACAATATTGATAGAGGTCCACTAGCCAATGTATCATGCCAAATATCTTAGCTCTGGCCTTTGTCATTCCAGAGAAGATTGTTTAAATTTTTTACAATATACATTTAAGGTTTTTACTATACAATGTATACATATAAAGAAACTTTAACTGTCAAAAAACATTCTGTCTACAGTTCTGAACATAGCCTCCCAATCAGTACCTTCAGTGCTTTGATTTTATTTCTAAACATATTGCCTTTATATGTGACACAACAACCCTGTGGACAAGACCTTTAAGGTGATTAGACTAAACTTGTCCATGACTCTTAATGACCTTGATCTTCAAAGTCAAATGAATCTTGCTTGATTTTTGCTATTATTGGCTATAACATTAACCCTGAAGGTCAAATCATTGTTTTGCTATAACTGACTATGACTATTATTAAAGAATGGATAATCTTCATACATGAGAACAACTACCTTAAGGTCAATGTCTTAAAGAAAATCAAACTCAATTTAACCTTGACTCATAAATAACCTTGACCTTGAAGGTCAAATTATAGTAATTTCACAGTTGTTTGCTATTACTTTTGTAAGTAATAAATGAATTGTCACATTATTTGGCACAATAATCCTTGGGACAAGACATCAAACAATATTAACTTGAACTTGACCTAGAAATTTGATACTAAAGGACAAAATGATGAATTTGTTACTATTGTCTTGAACTTGACCAAGAACTTTGATACTAAAGGACAAAATGATGAATTTGTTACTATTGTCCATATCTTAATTTATTTATGGATTTGATTTATACAGTTTGGGCAAAAGAAGACTTATAACAAAACTGACATGTTTAGTTATTTAGATATGACCTTGACCCATTTAAGAACATGATCATCAAGGTCAATTATTGAATTAACTTAGAATGTTATAACTTTTTATTATTTATGGATTGATTTATACTCCAAAATGGTACACTAATAACAAAACCAACAAGAACAAAGAACAATAATGACTAAACGGAGATGTTGAATTATTACGATATGTCTTTGACCAGTCTACTTGACCTGGACTGTCAAGGTCAAATTTTTGAAATTTGCTTGAATTGTCAATTTTTATTTACTTACAGATTTGAATTATACTTGGACAAAAGAACATATTTGATAAAATTGATCTGTTGAATTATTCTGATATGACCTTGACCTTTATTTTCAAAGTCAAATTGAAACTTGCTAAAACTTTCATAACTGTTTGTTATTTATTCATAAATTTGAATCATTCATAGACAAGAGAACATGTATGATTAAACTTACGTGATGAATAATTTAGATGTGACCTTGACAGTCAAGGTCAAATATGATATTTGAAATACATTTTGTTCAAGACAGTTATGTTTTAGTGAATAGAGTATTCTTTACTACAATATCCTTCCTCCAAAGTGTTTGACTTTGGAAATAAAGTCGAGCTTGGCAATGGCTCTTGTTAAAATGTATTTTAACCCCCCTGACCCAGCTGATCAATGGAGCAGAACCATCTGAAAAATTTAGCAGACATTTATGCTAGAAACATCCCAGGGAAATTTCATTGATCTTTGATGCATTTTTGCTGTTTTAAGCCAGTAAAATTAGTACATAAAGCATCTGGTTTAGGTGGTTTCCCTCTTTTTGTTAACTAAAATTATTGATGGAATTAAGCTTATAAGCCATTGGATGTTCTAAGTTCTGAACTGATGTACGGTGGACTCCACACAAACTTTTATGACAAAAGCTTTAAGTATACAGGCTAGAAAAATAAACAAGGTGAATGGCTTTCTTGTAATTTTCCTCTCCTACCCAGGAACAAAGTTATTATAAAACGAACATACCTTAAGAACGTCTCTCTGGAATTCAACGCCTAAGTACATGGTAGTGAATACAGTTAAGGAAACTATGTTTTAGAAATCTTGAAACAATAAAACATGATTATCTTGTCAACAATTTCTTTCAAATTTTAACATAAATATTTATTATATATCTATACTTTATGGTACACAGTTTGCGATTATTAAATAATACATTGATGACATTTGATATATCTAATACAATTATATTATTTCAGTTTTCTCAGTATTTTTTCATTTTTGCATTATGAATAATTTTTTTGTTTAAATATTATCAGAAACACAGCATTCAAAACAAAAGGAAATTTGTTCAATTTTATTTTCGAGGAAACAATGTAATTTAATTTTTGAGAAAAAAATATACATGTATGTATTATTATTGTACACACGATTAATTTAAAGTTCGTAAATGAAAACAAAACTAACTGCAAAGCAGGGTCCAAGCTTGGTTTTGCGATGGATGCCCCCTCAGGAATGTATGAAACTATGCAATAACTACAGATTGAATTTGACAACAACTGAGATTGTAGACGTTGTCAACCAAATAACATCCAAATTAACAAACAGTATAAGATTTTATCATATAAAACACATACAATTTGTCGTGATCTGTTGAAAGCGTTTATTTTCAGTTTAATTACACAAATCATTTACCTTAATGATAAAATTATGATTGAAGATCATATATATGACTGTAAGTAAGCATCATAACAATTGCTACATTTTTCTTTCGGTCGAAGTACAACCATACATAGCTTTTATTGAATTAAAGCCATAAGCATAAACAGGCCATGATGGCCCTGAAATCGCTCACCTGAATATAAAAAATCCATGACAAGGAACAAGTAATATTGTAAACTATAAACAAAAGCAGATATAAAATATAAAACTAAAACTGATATCACAAAGTTCATGTTTGTATCTATAATAGTGCATGTGTACAATCATTACTGCTTGCTATTGCTAAGGGAAAACAACAGGTCCAAAAGATGTGTACATATAAGGAAAATCAATGATCCCCTTGGACGGGGCCAATTTTGACCCCAGAGCTTTTATTTGAACAAACTTTGTAGACACTCACTAGAAGATGTTTCATGCTAAATATCTAAGCTCTAGCTCTTTGGGTTTTTAAAAAGAAGATTCTTAAAAAAATTTCTTTATACTTATAAGGAAAATCAATAATCAATTTGACTCAAGGGTTTTTATTTGAACAAAATTGGTAGACCCTCACTAGAAGATGTTTTAAGATGAATATCTAGGCATTAGCTCTTTGGGTTTTTTTAAAAGAAGATTTTGTTGTTGTTTTTACTATATACATATAAGGAAAATCAATGCCCCTCCCCCCCCCCCCCCCAGGGCAGGTCCATTTTGGACCCAAGGGCTTTTATTTGAACAAACTTGGTATTTCAAGATGTTTCTTGCTTTATATCTAAGCTCTAGCTTTTTAGGTTTTTTTAAAATAAGATTTTTAAGTTTATACTATATGTTTAAGGAAAATCAATGTCATGGCAACCAGAGTTCTGCATGAAATTAAATTCTTTGAACAATTTCTAAAGGTGATCACCAAAGGAACATTCCTGTGAAGTTTGGATGAAATTGGCTTAGCGGTTTATAAGGAGATGTAGTTTAAAGAAAAAGTTGGAAGAAAAGCGCCATGTCACTTTGAGACAGGTGGGCTGAAAAAAAGTATGACGACAAATCATACATAAAATCAGAGTAATATTTAAATATAGAGCAATCATGCAAGTAACAAATGGGCCATGAGGGCTCACCTGAATAATAATAATTTCCATAACAAGGAACAAGTGATATTGTAAACTTTAAACAAAAGCAGATAGAAAATCTAAATCTTAAACTGATATCACAAAGTCCATAACTGTATCTGAAATAGTACAGATGTAAAAACATTACTAGGGAAATTCAATGGTAGATAAGATAATGTTTGCTATGGAAGTCACTGGTTGCTATGAAATTTTACAGTTCTATAAAGTCAACGACTGCTATGCTATGGAAACTAAGCTTTAGCTTCTGTAGATTTAGAGAATTTTTTAAAAAGTTTTTTACATACACATAACAGGAAAATCTTTGTTCCCCGGGGCAGGGCCAATTTTGACCTAAGGGCTATTATTTGGAAAGAAAATGTAGAGGTCCAAGAGCATCAAATTTATGATATAAAACCATAAACAAGAGCCACCGCCGGTCGGGGGCAACGCTTGACTTTTTACTTTTTCTAAAAGCAAACAAAGAAATGTTTGAACAAATCTTAACGTTTCCTTTTTATAAATTTAAACAAATCGTAAAGAAACTAGAAATGTGTCGTCACGCCACGGATGCCCCCGCATGCAGCCAAAATTTCAGATGTTATAATATTTAGTTTCAAATTTGTTTGCACAAATTATTTTTTTCATTTTAAGTTCAAAGCCCTTAAAACTATTCAATGTTAACACAAACCATTTTTAAACAAAGTTCAAGGCACTGAAACTATTCAGTGTTAACCTTTTGTTAATTGCATATTGCATATTAATTTTGTAGCCAAAATAATGGCTACTATACATTTCCACAAAAGTATGAGTGCTGAAACTGAAAATTCAAAATTTTTCAAGAAAGATAACTTTGTCCAAAATCATTGAACCACGACCAAATTCAAACTTGAACTGCTTATTCCTAAGATGTATCTAATTTGAGTTGAATGTGTACAACCATTTGGGAGATAATGAACGGAAACTTAAAATTTCTGATTTTTTTTCAAAGTTCAAGAGGGATAACTCTGTCAGCTATCATCAAACCATGACCAAATTGGAAATTGACCAATGCATTCTTATGACATATCCATATCTTTAATTTGAGTTGAATATGTAACACTGTTGGGGAGATAATGAATGGGAACTGAAAATTTCCTTTTTTTTTTCAAAGTTAAAGGGGCATAACTCTACCAAAAATCACCAAACCATGACAAAATTTTAATTGACCTGCGCATTTATTTGACATATCCATATGTCAAATTTGAGTTGAATGTGTAATACCCTAGATGAGATAATATTTTCTAAGTGAAAGGGACATAACTGTGTCAAAAATCATGGAACCATGACCAAATTCGAACTTGACCTGCGCATTCCTTTGACATATCCATATGTCAAATTTGAATTGAAAATGTAACACTGTTGGGGAGATAATGAACAGAAACTGAAAATTTCATATTATTTTCAAAGTAAAAGGGGCATAACTCTGCCAAAAATCATCAAACCATGACCAAATTCAGACTTGACCTGTGCATATCTTTGACATATCCATATATCAAATTTGAGTTGAATATGTTATACTGTTGGGGAGATAATGAACGGAAACTGAAAATTTCATATTATTTTTAAAGTAAAAGGGGCATAACTCTGCCAAAAATCATCGAACCATGACCAAATTCGAACTTTACCTGTATTTTCTCATGACATATCCTATGCCAAATTTGAGTTGAATGTGTGCAACTGTTACTAAGATAATGAATGGAAACTAATGATGACGGAATGACAGAATGACGGAACAGGGTAACACTATATGCCCCAGCCATTATATGGCGGGGGCATAAAAAAGCCGAGCGTTGCCCCCTACCCGTTGTTGGCTCTAGTATTTTTGAAACTATAATTTTATCACAGTCATAATAAAGAAAATAACATCAACATTGGATCAACAAAGAGGGTACTGGATACTACTGATTAAGAACTCATACACTGAAGATTTTTTTTCATCAAAAAGGATATGCCTTATATTTGCCTTTCCTCTTCATGTCAATGTTAGGAAATACCAGTCGGATTGCTCTGTTGCATTGTGCACCCCAGTTACTTGCATCTGTGTCCTGTATAGCCTCACACAGTAATATAAGCAAGTCCTGACGATGTACACCACTTTCCATATTTCCTGTCCATCTCAGAATTGCTGAAATATCATGCAACAAAGATAAAATAAATGAAGTTTTTTTCTCTCTATTTCTGGCTCTATTGGCCATTTTGTTCAGCAGATCAGTATAATATAAGCTATTTCTAAGTTAAATATTATGTTGCAGCAAAATCGTGTCCGGCCCATAACTTTGTTATTTGAAGTCGGATTTAACAACTATTTCACAGAGTCCCGAATTCTTGTACAACTATTTCACAGAAATGATCACAATATTGAGATGACGTGTCACGCTCAACATTTGGGTCGCTACCTTGAAGGTCAAAGTCACAGCATGACCTTTAAGCATTATCGTTTAGGGCCCATAACTTTGTTATTTGAAGTTGTATTTTACAATTATTTCACAGAAATGATCAACATATTGAAACGATGTGTCACGTGCAACATTTGGGTCGCTACCTTGAAGGACAAGGTCACAGCATGACCTTGCAGCAAAATCGTGTCCGGCCATAACTTTGTTATTTGATGTCAGATTTTACAACTATTTCACAGAAATGATCACCATATTGAGATGACGTGTCACGCTCAACATACGGGTCGCTACCTTGAAGGTCAAAGTCACAGCATGACCTTGAAGCAAAAACGTGTCTGGCTCATAACTTCGGTATTTGAAGTCATATTTTACAATTATTTCACAGAAATGATCACCATATTAAGACGACGTGTCGCAAGCAACATTTGGGTCGCTACTTTGAAGGTCAAGGTTACAGTATGACCTGGCAGCAAAATCGTGACCGGCCCATAACTTCGTTATTTGAAGTTGGATTTTACAACTATTTCACAGAAATGATCAACATATTGAGACGACGTGTCACGCACAAGTCAGTAGATAGATCTCATTGAGTAGAAGGGCAGTGCAAAGAACAGTTACTCTGCCTTGCCTAAATTTGGAATTATCACACTTTGAACTCTGTCTGGGACATAACTCTGAAACTACAAAAGATATACTTTTCTGTGTCCAAAACCTAGTCGGGGATCATCACCCGGTTCAACCGGCTCTTGTTTTAGTCTGATAACAAACTTTTACATATCTTATTGGGGACTTTTAACGGATAAATTAATCAAATCTTACACTTAATCGCTATAGATAGGAGGCACTTAAAAGTGATATAATGATGTGTAATAAATTAGTAAGGTAATTTAAAATACTTAAAACTATGAGACTTGACAAAATTGTTTTCTTGCAATACTGTTGACATAGATCCTAGCCATGACTCAAGGTGAAGACAAATGCATGTAAATGCAAAATGGTACTTATATATAAAATGAGTTAAATAAGCAGAAAAAAGTCTTAAGAGATGCATAAAAGATCAAAACAGTGCAGAATACAAATAGTTTAAAAATTTCATTTTGTTCCCATGCTTGTTCCTGTGACGTCATAACATGTCACTGATCTATTTTTAGAAATCACACTGGGTTTCAAGTTTATACAACTTGAAATAAAATTTATTTATATAGGTTTCAATAACGAAAATGATAATGTACATACGAAAAATATAATCTAACTTAAAGAAGTTTATTTCAAAGCACAAACAGTAAACATTTAAAGAGAACTATTTTGTGTCACCCATGTTAAGAAATAGTGAACACTTTGCCATAAAGATTATCAAGTAACTATATGGCCGTAAGCCATTTAAACTTGCTGTTCATAACTTGGTCATCTCAATATTACAGGGGGTCACAATCCACTTTTCCTTTTTTTGTAAAGTCAAACACAGAGGAAGAATATTGAAGTAAAAAGTTATTCTAGAAAACATAATTTTCTTGTAAAATATAAAATTTGAATTTTATATCTGACCTATACAATCAAGGTCATTCAAAGGCCAAGGTCTCATCTGAAATAATTATCAATTCACTTTTGCCATGAGTGTTCTTTTGTCCACGAATGAATAAAACCCATAGATCTATATAAATAACAAAGTTATGATAATTCAAGGTAATTCAATAATCTGACCTTAACAGTAAAATTCAATTAAAGGTCAAAGTCACTTCAGAATATTCAACATGTCAGTTTTCTCATATGTGTTCTTTTGTCCAAGTATTAATCACATCTGTTAAAAAACAAGATTGCATTTGTGAAACCGGACGGGGGCAACTTACGACTTTTTTATTTTTTCTAAAAGCAAACAAATAATTGGTATGAACAAATCTTTTAAAAGAAAATTAAAGAAAAAAAAAGTGTTTCCTTTTTTTAATTTCAATACGCCTGTCTAGTCACACATGTTGTTTTGTCCAAGTATGAATCCTTTCCATAAAAAATAACAAAGTTTAGAAAATATAGCAAAAATTCAATCATTTGACGGTCAAGGTCATATTTAAATTATTCCACATGTCTGTTTGGTCAAAAGTGTTGTTTTGTTATGAATTAAATCCATACATATATAACAAAATAATGACAATTTAAACAAAATTCAATACTTTGAACTTGATGGTCTAGGTCATTTAAAGCACAAGTTCAAGGTCAGTTAAACCTTTTAGAATGCCTTGTCCAAAAAGTTGTTTTGTCCAAGTATGAAAATAATCCATTGATAAATTACCAAATTACAGCCAATTATAGCGATAATCAGTGGAAATGAAATAATATGACCTTCAAGGTCATGATGGCCCTAGAATGCTCACCTGAGTATCAAACTCATCCGAGCAATTACTTTAACAAGCATCCTGACAAAGTTTGATGACAATTGATTAAAAAATGTGACCAATAGAGAGTTAACAAGGTTTTTCCAAATTTGGGCAGTGTGACCTAGTTATTGATCCCAGCTGACCCATATTTGAACCTGACCTAAAAATCATCAAAACAAATTTGCAGACCAATTTTCAGGATTTTTGGATAACAACAGAAGCAACTAGAGAGTTAAAAAGATTTTTATATGTTTAGCTCCTGTGACCTCTAAGTTTTTCATCAGAGATGACCCATGTTAAACATCATCCTAGCAATTAACTAGACAAGCATCCTGACCAAGTTTGATGACAATTGAGTAAACAAGAGCTGTCACAGGAGACAGCAAAGCTCGACTAATAAAATACTCGACACAGTAAGGAAGACAAAACTATGAAAGAAAAATCAATTATGTATAATTATGTCATGATTTAGTTATAGTAAAAAAATAACATTTGATAACATAAACTCCAAGCTCAAGCGGGAATAATTCTAGAAATAGTCATGAACCTTGTCACATAATATGTAATTGATGATAAGGAATAAATATTTGAAGTTTGAGGTAGATAACCTTTAAAACTAAAGAAGTTATAGTAGAAAATAACATTTTTCAAGTAAAAATATCTAACTTTATGAGGAGATAATTCTTGCAATACAGTAAACTCCGCTTATAACGAACTCATTGGGACATTCAAAATCTGTTCCTTATATCCGGAGTTCCTTGTAAGCATATAGCGAATTAGTTCCTTGTATCAGGAGTTTTTATAGCGAACAGATTTACATATCGGAATAATTTATCATACACCCTGACAAAGAACTATTAAAAAAGGAAATTAATTAACAAGTAAAGGATGTACCAGTTTTGATATACATATTGATGATCATCAAAAACTCCCTTCAAGGTAAAAAGAAGCCTAAATTAAAAAATTATTTATATACTCCTATGACATCAATTTTCATAGAATTGAATTTAACATACTACAATTAACTACAAATTCCGCAGTTTTAATTATCGCGTCGGCCAAAGTGAAAAAAATTGAACATAAGGGAAATATGAAAGAATAAGCCGAATATATTATGTCGTTTTTTAGTAAGTTAAAATAATTTGATGAATTTTCCCCAAGCTCAAATGGGGAAAACTAGAAATAGTTACCTTGTCAAGCATAATCTTAACTGTCGCTAAATAAATATTTTTATAAATTAAATAAAGAAGGCATAATTGGGAAAATAAACATTTTTCCATGTAAAATTCCCTAACTTCTATAAGTAATTCTGTATTGGTGCTATAGAGTTATGAACCTTCACACATAACATGTGGTTAATGATAAGGAACATATATTCGAAGTATGAAGTTGATCCCTTAACCCTTTACCTCATGAGCATATTGTGAAAGTATGAAGTTGATCCTTTAAGAAATAAAGAAGTAACAGTATAAAATAGTATTTTTTTAAGGAAAATTCTAAGTTCAAAGAGAGATAATTACAATGTATATCAGAACATATTGGTTCTAGAGTTATGAACCTTGTCACATAAGATGTGGTTGATGATAAGGAACATATATTCAGAGTATGAAGTTGATCCCTTAACCCTTTACCTCATGAGCATATTGTGAAAAATGGCCGTTTTCATTGAAAAGCTTCCTGTTACAAGTTCAAACTGCTATGAAACTATGAAAAATGCTTCAATACTGATGAAACTTGGCACAAATGTTGACTGGACCATAGCCTCTGTAACAGCATGCTCAATCTTAAATTTCCTGTTACCATGGCAATGGGGGGGACCTCTCAAAATTTCCAAAAATCACAATTTTGCATTGTTTTTGTCCATCAAAACTGATTTCAAAGTGCTGCAAATTCTCAATGGATTGAGATAGAGTGAAAGGCTTTTCTATGTTAGCTGATTTGGTACGCTTTTGTGTGACGCGTTGGCGCTAGCGACAACAGGACAATGGGCCAAACGGCGCGCTGTCGTCTTGTCTTCCTGTCTCTAGTGTGGCATGCCAAACAACGCGTTGTCGTGCGGCGTGTTGTTGCAATGTCACATTGTTGCTTGGTTCAAATTGAAGGATTGGCTAATAAGCCAAGCGGCATCGCGCCAATGCGCCGCATGCCATCACACCATTTGGCATGCTGCACCGTTTGGCAATTTGTCGTGTTTTCGCTAGCTATAGGCAAACAAAAGGGGACACATCCCCCTGCTGGTAACCCCTTGATGTATCTTTTTGATGGGGGCTGTGCTGAGAAAGTGATCACTTTTTTTAACAACATTTCTCAAACGAAAAACAGTGTTTGGAGCCTAAATAAAGTAGTTTTTCACTGTTTGA